CCGCTCTATATATATATATATATATATATATAAAGCTTTATAGGTTAAGTTCACCCCAAAATAAACTATAATAAATTTCCACTTACGCAATATTCTAATTATTTATACAACAACAAAGCACAGTTGTACAAATAAAGTACACAATTCTTTATTTAATATTTATCTAATATTAAATTTTTGTTATTAATTATAAATTATAACCAAAAATTTTTCTTGAATGGTCATCTACAAATATAAATAAATATTTTTTTATCATCAATGGAATCTACACTCATCGGGCCGCATAAATCTGAGTGAATTAAACTTAATTTTGTAGTAGCGTGTTTATAATTAATTTTCTTAAACGGGCGTCTAGCTTGTGTTTACCTTTAATACAGCTAACGCAAGCATTTTCATTGTTATCAGTAAATTTTACTCCTGTGACTAGACCTTCTTTCATTAGTTTCATACCATAACGACATAAATGCCCTAATCTTTTATGCCATAAATCTGCCTTAGATTCAGTTGTTGTTGCATACGCATTTATAGAGTCATTAAAATCTAGCTTGTACATACCGTTATCATTTGTCGCTTTTAGTACTACTTTACCAGATACTTTACAATTTTCTTTGCGGTATATTTGACATCCTTGTTCGTTAAAAATAAAAACAAAACCTTTTTTAACTGTTTGACTTACTGATAACAAATTAGTATTTAAATTAGGAACATGTATGACATCAGTTATTCCAGAAATACCTTCAATATTCTTAATAGGAAAAAAACCTATACCTTCGTCTATATATCGTCTATTTCTTTTCCAATATCTGCTAACTGTTGCACAGTAGACATAACCTCTGCTATGTAGGCATCCATGGAATCAAAATCACTAAGTTGTAGACGATAAAGTCTTCGTTGTAGATTTAGACGTCGTCCAAGACCATTATCCTCGTATGCTTGCCTGAGGCAGTCCCACATGCATTTCGCTGTAACACATGTTCTTACGTGAACTATGGCAGTATCATCGAGAGTCAAAGACATTGCAGCTATTCCGTCTTTTTCAGTCTTAACCTCTTCTTTGGTATTGTCTCCCTCAGGATATCCTTGAACAGCATTCCATAATTTTTCATGCAGTAAATAAGCCTTCATTTTAAATTTCCATGTAGAATATCCTTCACGGCCAGAAAGAACTTTTATCGAGACCGGTGGTAATGCGCCTCGCGTCGTTGCGATCGTCGGTGTAGCCATTGGCTTAGTTTACACCGATTGTTTAGTACGCGTACCAAGTACTAAATCAGCTTTTTTGATTGGTGTAGATTTTACACTAAACGATTTATAGCTATCGGAGAAGCAGATTTAGTATTTGGTACGCGTACTAAACAATCGGTGTAAACTAAGCCATTATGTGAATTATCTTATAATATCATTCATTGACTAATTTCTTTCACTTTTAATCCTTTCTGCTATCTGGGCCCATAACCTGTTGTAATATTTTGTAATACTTGGGCATAGGGATCGAAGTGAAAGTATTCTTTTTATCTTTAGAATAATTGAGACACATATATTTTTCTGCAAAGAAGCGTACAAGCCGGGATGCGCGAACAAACTAACTACACTATACATTAAGAGAACTAAAAAAATTGTGTGCTTGAATATAACTTAGGTTCTAATAGATGGCGCTATGATTACATTACAACATTATCTTAATATATATAAGAATAAATAAGAAGTTTGTATGATAAGAAAAGGATCCCAACAATTAATCTTTCATGGTAGCAGAGGTCCGTGGTTAAGTTAAAAGAAAAAATATTAGAAGTCTTGAGTATAGATAATAATAAAGAAAAAAATGATAAAAATGGCCGAAAGTCATGGAATACCAGTGTTTGACGGTGAAGATTATGGCAGTTGGAAGAAGAGGATCACGATGTACTTGAAAACGAAAAAGTGTGAAATGGTAATTACAAGAGAAATGATAAGAACAAACAATGCTGAGGACTCGGAACAAAATAATTTGAAAGCCATAAATTACATCTATAGTGCAATTACGAATAAACAGTTGGAATTTGTAAGTGATAAAGAAACAGCGTACGAAATAATTAAGAAGTTCGACGAGATGTACTTGAAAGAGTCAACGGCTTTGCAGATTGTGTTAAGAAATAAGTTAGAAAAAATAAAACTAAAAGACTACAGTGATTCCGCAACCTTTTTTAGTGACTTTGAAAAATCCATAAATGAACTGAAGGCGGCAGGTGCAAAGGTAGAAGAAAAGGAAAAACTGAATTATATGTTAAGAACGCTGCCGGAATCTTACAGTTACGTAGGAGATTTGATTGATACACTCAAGACAGAAGATCAAACTGTGGAACATGTGAAAAGCAAGATAAAAATGCTTGAACTAAAAAACAAAGAAAGTGAAAGTACAAATTCTAAATCTAATGCATTTGTTACGGAGTCTAAACAAAATCGGGAATGGAGAGATCCGAAGGATCAAGGATGCTTCAATTGTGGAAAATTTGGACATTATAAGAAGAACTGTACGGAGAGCAGCAAGGGTTCATGGCGAGGACCACACCGTGGCAGCATGCGCGGAAGGGGTCGAGTAGCGAGGCACGTGGCGCGGTGGCGGTCACCATAGACGTGGCAACGGCCGCGGAGGACGTCATACTTCATGTGGTGGAGGGCATCACTGGCAACGAGACCAGAACGGACAAGAAGCAGCTGGTGGAGGAGTATTCCACACTATAGTTGAAGTGAACTCGTTGAATAGAGAGATTAAGGAAAGCAATCAAATACATTGGCTTTTAGACAGTGGGTGCACTGATCATATAATTAATAATGAAAATTATTTTAGCGAATGTAAAACATTGAACGAACCAATTAACGTTAAAGTTGGAGATGGTCGAATATTGAAAGCAACGAAAGTAGGAAAAGTAAATACTTATTTCCAATTTATAATAGAAAAAGAAAGGTAACATTATTGAATGTATTTTATGTAAAAGAAATGAAACAAAATTTAATTAGTTATTCTCAGATAACAGAAAGAAATACAATTATATCAGCAGGTAATAACTCAAAGATTTATGATAAATTTAATAGACTTTTTGTCAATAGCATGGAAGGAAGGTAGGTTATACAAAATGACAAGTTTCCCGTGTAATGAATCAGAGGTTAACGTAATGAGCAGTCATAATAAAGTCGGTAACATAAGTATAAAAGAAAAATGGCATCGTATATTAGGCCATGTAAATTTTAATTATTTAACTACTTTATGCAAAAATCAACTGTTAGATGGTATACCTAGTGAGATAGGCACTGAATATATGAAATGCAAAATATGTATAGAAAACAAGATGCATAATTTGCCTTTCGAGAATAATAGAACTCGAGCCAAAGAAATTTTAGAAATTGTTCATACTGATTTAAATGGACCTCATAGAAATCTAGGTATGAATGGTGAAAAATACTTTATTACTTTTATTGATGATTACAGTAAAGCAGCCAAAGTTTTTGCAATAAAATCCAAAGATGAAGTTTATAAGTGTTTAATAGAATACATAAATGAGGTAGAAAATAAAACTGGGAAAACTATAAAAAAACTGAGATGTGATAATGGGAAAGAATATTTAAATAGAAATATTTATCAGCTAGTCAGAGAAAAGGGAATTTTTATAGATAAGTGTCCACCGTATGTACATGAATTAAATGGAACAGCCGAAAGATATAATAGATCAATTATGGACATAGCCAGATGTTTATTAGCAGAAGCAAAAGTAAATGTCAGATTCTGGCCAGAGGCAGTTTTAGCAGCAGCTTATCTCAAAAATAGAACACTAGCTAATACTATAGAAAGAAAGACACCTTATGAAATATTGTTCGGTAAGAAACCGAGTGCAAAATATCTTCGTATGTATGGTAGTAGGGTCTTTGTACGTGTACCAGAACAAAATAAAATTTCAAAATGGGATAGAAAAGCTGACTTGGGAATTCTGTTAGGCTATAATGAAGTTGGGTATAGAGTTTTAATTAATAATAGAATTGTGGTTGCTAGACATGTAGATATAGTAGAAAATGATATAAGATGTATAGGTCTTGATGAATGTGAAAATTCAAGTGATTCTGTAACAGGTGATAAAAATTTAGAAGATTGTTCAGAAACGGATAAACAGGAATTAAAATTAAACGAAGATGGAAATGAGTCGGATGCAGGGCAAAAACAAAATGATGATCAGGTTCAAGGATTAAGGAAGTCAAGTAGAAAAAAGAAAATGCCCACTAGGTATGATGAAAACTATGTTTACAATAACTGTATCTATATTAATTATTGTAGTGCAGATAGCCCGAATAATTTTGAGGAGGCAATGAATTGTGATGAATCTGAATTTTGGAAGCAAGCAATGAATAAAGAGTTTAATTGTCTAAGTAAAAATAAAACTTGGAATTTAGTCGATCAGCCAAAGAATAAGAAAGTCTTAGATGTAAAATGGGTATATACAAAGAAATCCGAAAATAATTTTAAAGCTAGATTGGTTGTAAGAGGTTTTCAACAAAAGGAAGTAGTAGATGATATTTATTCACCAGTGGCTAAAATGCAAACACTAAAA